GAGCCCCTCCCGCGGCAGGAGCGGGAGCCGGGGCCGCATTCCCGCCGCCAGAGCGGGCCGGAGCCCGGCTTTCCCCTCAGTTCAAGCCCGATCCTTCGTTAGGCAGCAGCCCGCCCCCCGTCACAGCACTGGGTGCTTTAGCCCCGGGTTAAAATAACGCAGGAGGGAGCGTGGTGTACAAGAAACACACCAAAAAAAAAAAAAAAAATCTCTTTTTTTTCTGATCTGGTTTTACAACATCGGGAGCGTTCCCGAGGGGAAGGCAGGCCCCAACCCCTGAAGGCTGCCGCAGGAAACCAAAAGGGCAAAGGTCACGTACTGGAAGATAGCGAGACAATTGTTCTGACCTTTAAAACTAACTCAAGGAATACGTAATGCTGGCTGTAGTAAAAGATGGGTGAGTACCTGTCAAACAGGAGGGGGTTCTACTAGAGCCTACTCCATCCATGCACTCCATCAAAAGACATTCTTACAGCATTAGTCTACCTATAAGAACATGCACTTTAGGTAACAGCGATTCCCAAAAGATTTGCAGATGAGCCATTTCATGTCATCCAGTGACAAGAAAGAGGTGGCAGTGTATTAAGATTTTACGATTAGAAGAATAAATTTTGTAAGGCAGGAGGAAACCAGTAGCAGAGAAACGTGAGTTCATGCAAAAATGAGAGTACACAGCAGATACGCACACGGTAAACTTCATTTGAACTTGTTTACAAAATTGACAAAAAAAATATCACCTTGTAAACTTATTCACATTTGTTGGAGCTCACAGAACTGGTTATACTAGCATGCTGAAATAAAGATTGTCAAGCCTCGTCTCACCCTGGATGACATCCCAGTGAGTTGACCCTTACAGCAGAAACAAACTCGGTATGGAACAAGATTTAAAGCTTGCATTGTGAGTGAATTTCTCTAACGATTTAGTACCGCTAGGGAAAGGGCTGGCTCTAATACCTGACACTCCCTCAAGCAAAGAGAGCATCAGCACGGTCACTTTGCTACCCAGAGCTGGATGTAATTTGAAAGCAGTGATGACCTTAGGGCATCACCTCACCGAGTGTGGTCCACAAGGGCCATTGATTGCATCAGAAACGTAAGCAGTGGAGAAAAAGATGGGTTTTATAAAGTGTTAATGTAATACTTTTGTCATTTCCTGAAATTTGCCCTATATTCAAAGGCCTTAGAAGAGCACGGACCCTGTTCCTAAATGCGACCATTCAGGGAAAAAGGGACAAGGGGCGGTGGGAGATAAGATGCACAGTATTTTTTACATAAACAAAACCCAAGCATTTTCCAAAATGACCAGCTTTTCAGCCCTCTACCATCAAATCTACCTTTCTGAAAGTAGCTTTCCCCAACTTTAAAACACACTGCTTGACCTCATCAACTGCAGAAGGACAAAATGGAAGTAAACTGAAAATATACTTGGAAGCATTTTTTTGGTAACCACTTTTTCTGGTTTCACACTCAGACCCCAGATTTCAGAAATGGAAGCACAGACATCAGTTAAGATTTCTGAGACACCCACACATTTCAATACCAGTCAGATCACAAAAGCAGTAGGTTTGAACAAGAACTGAAACCAAACCTTATCGGTTGTATTCCAGGGAATGAACCAACTTAATGTATACCTGGCGAGGAACACCCTTTTAAAATCACATAAGAGCTTGACTCTCCTCTCAAGGCAGGAGAACTCTTGCCAAGGCTCTTCTCCATAGAAGCGAGATCCAGCACAAACGGGTTAACAGAGTTAACATCACTAAGCCTAGAAATATTTTTGGTATAGTGTCCCCTCCCCTTTTCCCCTGGACAGAAGCCCAGCACCGGGGACTGCAGAAAACAACTAGTCCCGAATGTTAAAGCAATTACAGTTAATAGAAATTCTTAGCCTTCTATACTGAACCAGGCTGCTTCAGAAAGCATTTTAACAATTAGGAATAATATATTACAAAGTTACTGAGAAAAAAGATGAACTATGATCTTTTTAGACTTTGAGGTACATTAACAGCAATTGGGTTATCAGTCTCCAGACCCTGGATGCAACCAGAGTTTAAAAAAAAAATCCAACCTGTGCGACTGAATACCACCAACGTACTTGGAAGACATCTTGTATATCCCTAACAGCCAGCTGCTTTCGACAGTGTCGGATGGGATTCGGCTTCACCACACTGCTCCGACGGATTCTCAGTGTTGATGATCACTTAGCTGGTCTGAATTGAGCAAACTTTAAAAAAAATGAGTTAAGTATAAATAATTCACAAACTGTTTTGTGCAAATTTTTTTTATTTCCACATTTATATCACAATGTGTCCACTTAAAGGACCAAATAGCAAAGTTGCTCCCTTCTGCATCCCAAGAACACAGAAGTCTAGGTACTGTACATTCACTAAGGCTCTTTGTTTTTGCAAATTGCGTTTATGATGGATATCCATAAGGCAAACAATATCTAAAGGAATGGTAACAAGTATATTTCCAGCATACAAACAGGCTTCCTTTTTCCCTCTCACAGTACAGTTACAAACTTGTAGCACCCTCATTACATTTAGATTCTAGAAAAGGTGATTTTTCTTTTTTTTTTCTTTTTTCCTAGAAGTTTGCAGGAAGGGAAAAGGAGGAAAAATATTTGGCTGGTGGTGGTGGGATCAAAAAATATCATTAAACATCTAGTTTTTGCAGCATTTCTCAGAGACTGGATTTAAACTGAAACCAGACTAAAATATGTGGATGCCTATGGAATGTTGAGCTGAAGCTGGTCTCCCAGCCTGCAGTGCAACACCTGCTGTTTAAAACCCAATCTCCGTACCACATGACTTTAAAAAAAACGCAATCATGTTCAGAGATGTGATACAAATAAAACTACAGTTTTTGCACATTGTCTCTCGAATATCTCACTGCCAAATAAAAACCCAAATCAAGTCAAATAAATAGATGCATATTTTGTAAAGGTAACTTCCACAATTTTCTCTGTACCTGCCTGTAATAAGATTCCGGCATTCAGAAAGTGCTGGAAATCCTCTTCACTTCTTGGGGACTAACACTTTTTTATAGCTGGCTCGCTATAAGAGTTTTGAACTCAATTTATCAACCTTCGTATGCCTTCCTTTGCAATTGTTAGTAAACTGGTAGCAGCATTTCACAAAAGGAGAATTTAAAGGGAAGAGCTGTAAAAGAACCAGCTCCCTCACACCCTCTGCTCGTTGGGCCTGTTTGTCCAGGACAGGAGGCTTTCTCCATCTTTAAGTGGCATAGTGTCTGCCATTTTTGCTAATTGCAGATGTAAAAGCATTTTTAGCAAAACTGTACTCAGTCTAGGCAGACGTAAGGCAGGATGTTCAATCTACCATCATCCCCATGTGGATCTAAAGATATGCACTGTGTCCAATCATACCAGTTACCCTGTGTGTCATAACAACCGTTCACGCCTGGCCAGTTATGTTCACGTATTCTGTTGAGGTCATCACTTGTGACCTCTCTTGTGACCCCAGGCAAGTCTGTAGGTTTGCTGTTAGGAGCTAGAACATGAGTCTTTCTAGCCTCTTTTCTAGTGCTTTCCTCCTGCTTTAAATATTCAGACATGAAGTAGTGAGCTCCTGGAGTCTGTACTCCTGATGAAGACAGCAAGCTACTCTGTCTGTTTAAATATGACTGAATGATTTCATTTCTGGATAATTCTTTCCAGTTCGTTTGTTCAAAGGGGCTTTGCAGGTTGGGTTTTTGCTCCTGCTTTTCCGTTTCTGTCCTGTGCTGTTCAGTAAGTGCAGGGATTTCTACCTGCAAAGGATCTTTCTGTGTTAAAGGTTTTATCTGTCCTGTCATGGGATCAAAAGTGAGTTTTCTCTCTTTTAATCTCACAGGTTTCACACCCCCTTCTGTCACGTGCCCATCCAAGTTGACTGTATAGTCTCTGGGTCGGTACCTTTTCTTCTTTTTACTATCGGAACCTGAAGCAGCATCATCACTGTCCATTTTTGAAGCGTCCTGTGAAAAGCCCATGTGTGGCGTGAGAGATTCCCCAGGGTGGGAGCTGGTTTTGCAGCTGGAAGATGTGTGCTGTTGAAGTGTCCCTGCTGTATGCCTGTGCTGGCTTTCAGAAGGTACCTGCTGCTCCTGCCAGTGCTGAGATACCTCAGTTACCGATTGCTGAGAGAACTCCAGTCTTTTTGCTGGCATTGGAGGTGTCGACGGTTGCATCAGGGATGGTGGCGGTGATGGCACCTGTGCAGTATCTAAGAACTGAGACCTTTGAGATGGACTAGGCATTGAATCCTTTGGTGAGTACGTAGTATGCTGCCGAGCAAAAGTATCATGCCTAACATTTCTGGGGCTAAACGAGGAACAGCGAGGACTCTTGGGTTGGTGCGGTCCTGTGGTTTCTTCCGATTTATCATGCTGCTGAAGCACTGCAGTCTTTAATAACGAGGAAGTGCTTGAAGGTTTTACAAGTCCTGGAGAACTGGTGTGAGGTTTTACAGCATTGACTGGGATCTTATTGTGTTTATCATTTTCACTGAGTTCTGTCCTGCTGCTTTCGGGCCCTGCATGTAGATTTATGTCTACAGGACTAGGGAAATTTTCAGGACTACCTCCAATTCCATTTGTGGGAGGGGGTGAAGAGTTTTGTAATACTTCATGACTAGCTTTGGAGACTTTGGGGGGAGGAGGGCCCTGATGCCCGTCCCTGTGTTCACCTTTCCTTTTCCGATTTCCCAGTTTCTCTGGTTTTGGAGAATTTAGTTTCTGTATATCATTCCTGCTTTTCAATTCGCTGATGGGCTTTGATCCAGCCACAGCAGGAAGTTGCGCTTCGGGTTTGCAGTTGTGAGCACCACCATTTGCTGATCCAGGTGGATTCGGCAACCCTCTTGGCACTGGTTCATTCTGGGTTACAGGTTCTATCAACTTTTGCCAATTCCGCAACAATTTCTTGGCACGTTTGGCAAGTTCCTCATTGGATGTCTTCTTCCTCACCTCATTGATAAGCCTCCCAAGTCTCGTTTCCTATAAAGAAAGAAAAGTTGTTTTACAAACAGGTATCATTCTAAACAGAATTCTTAAGGTACATTTCTGCTTTGTAATGCTTACCCTAAGAAATACCTAGTTAAAATCCACTAAAGGTTTAAATGTTGAATTAATCTTTTTGGAAAGGATTAGCCCAGCCGGTTCAGCGCTCTGCCACGCAACATGAAACCTACTGTAGGTTTCCAGTCGCTCTGTCTTTATTCCCCGGCTAAAGCACCAGAGCCATTAGCTGTGAAAAACATCAGGAAGGAATTCTTTAATCAGCAAGAATCTTGAGAGAATAAAGGTGCAAGCTTGGATTCGAGGGGAAGTGCAGCACCCAAGGCAGTAAAGGTGCATGTTTATCACAATGAAATTATAAGATCTGCAGAAAGAGGCAAGAGAAGAAAATTCCAGAATCTTCGCCTGTTACAGTAATACGTTGACAATAATCTCCATTTCACAAACCTGACTAGCCAGGGTGTGACTTATGTCCTACCTTCTTCCTCCATCTCTCCTCTCCCTTCACTCCCCAGTATCTTGAAAGGGTATGAAAGACCGATTTAAACAAGCATTCCTAGGGTGTCCCAAAGTGGTTTCATAAGTGGAAGGAAGTGAAGTGTTTGATTGTTCCCAAAGCACATTTGAAAACAAAGAATTGTTCCATAAGTCAGATTACTTAAGAAAAGCACTTCAAAGGAAAACATAGACCAGTCTGTGAGAGAAATAGGCAACACGTTGCGATACATACATTGAAATACAGCTGGAGTTATAATTAAGCAACAGCTAAAAGCAAGTAACACCAATAATTTCAATATAAAGATATAAAAGAATTTTATAATTTAGCCATAAAAACTTCTTTAGGCTCTGTTTCTAACAGTGGCGAGTGAGACTGCAGCTATCCCATCTGATACTTCAACTTTTAATACAACTAATCTCACCAACTAGATCAGGCACTGAAACCTGCTTAGCTGAATTTAAGATTAATTTTGTAGACACAGAGTAACTATATTCCTATTTCAGATTCTTTGGTGCTTGGTCACCAAACATCTAAAAAGGTGACCAGTACTTCAGCAAGCAGAGTTATGTTGCTGAATGCAACAGAATTAATCAGTAGCAAGTAATAATTTAGTGCCCTACACAAACAGGAACTGTGCTGCACAGAATACTGATCTGAATCCAGAAAGAATCACTGTGTATGCATTGAGATGTCAGAAGCAGCACAAGGGACAAAATAATATCTTAATTGTGAATCCTTTGCAATCATTCTATTGTTTCAAGAAAAGCTCTTATGGAAATTAGATCGGCAGAGAAAGTCCTTTTATACACACAAAAATCAAGTAATGTTTGGAGGGTGACATACCTCAAGTGCCTCTTTGGTAATGGGATATTTCTCCAGGCTGGAGATCACTTCCAGCACTGCCACCATGTTATGGATCTGCAACAAGGAAGACAAAGTCACTTCATGTTTCATGTACAGGTCTTAGTTATCAAATGTAATTTAAGACCTTCCACTTTATAATTGCTGGAAGCATTAATCACAAAATTGCTATCACACTGTCTGGCTTTAGGGAGCTGACTGTTCAAAGAATAGGGACAAGGACACTTTACTGACCTAGTTGGAAACTGCAGGAGCTGTAACAAACACACTCTTATGTAAAACTAAAGGAAACATTAGCAATAAAACCAGTGTGACTTACTAGCAAAGTTCTGAGACTCCTAGCCAAGGTGTTAGTTAATTGTCCTACAGCCTAACTGGAAACGTTAAATGCCAAGTGGGCCAAGAAGAGCAACGAGTCAAATCCTTTTGCATTTATCCCTTTAGGCACTGCTTTAGATTTATGCCAGTCACCGCCCTATGATTTTGTTCAGAATATCTATGTTTCCTGTAGCTACGCACCAACAGTCTAAAATCCCAGGCACAAACTCCTCCAAGTTGAAGAGCAGAGAAGCAAAGGCTGTGCCCAGTAGGTGTCCTCAGCCCATCGCCCAGCACCAGGCGTGGGATAGAGCCACCCTAAAAACTCCGCAATCATTCTACCACTCTATTTCCTCATATGTAAGATGGTGAGGAGTAACTGCAGATATTCACGTTACGTTAACAAAGCCTGCATCCTTTTCTGATGGGTTTCACTGCAACATTTCTGTAGGCATGAGTAAGCTCACACAAAAGCAATTGCCACAATCCGTAGATGTTAAGCACAGGTGTGATTTTAGTAATTTCTATGAGAAACCCCAGACTACACAGAGATCCATATTTCCATTACCTGATGTTAAGAGCACCAAAAAGTGGAATTTCTAATTCACCTTTGTAGATAGATTTAAAAGATAAGCAAAGGAAAACTTGAATCACCGTCTCATTTATTGCTTAATTGCATTTGTGACTCAACTGGACATGAACTGCATGTGAGAGAAATCTCTCAGCAAGAACCTCTGCAGGGATCCCACATTATCCTGAAGTCTTATCAGGAGCATAATCAGGTCGCTCTACCCTCCCAGTCACACACTCCGCTGCAAGATTCTTCATTTTAAAAAGATTGCAAGTTCGGAAGAATTAGCTTTTTTTCAAGTCAATTCTACCCTTCTATTAAGATAAAACAAGAGAATCAGGAGCCGAAGGCTCTTCCTTTCAGAAAGTCTTGTGCATAGACAATGTTTTTTCCATCACAGCAGGATTGTTTAATGTAGGAAATACTTGGATAAAGCTGCCGGCAATTAAACACTTTACCTGATTTTTAGATTCACTTTTATCAAACTTATGTTTAAAGTCTATATAGGCTTTGAATGATTCTAACTGTTACAGGCTGTAAAACCAAATTCAGACCAAAGATGAGTTAATTTGTCATGGTCTTTTCTTCACTGAACGACAATGCCTCTGCAGATATTTAAAGCCCTACCATCCGGTCAGGTCTGCTAAAACTCTGCTTAAGCTTTAAAGCAGCAATAGCATGTATTTTGACATATTCTAGTTCTTACTATTTCACTTCAATGCACTGACTTTCTTCCATGTTTTGATCCTTGCACTGCCCTCAGTGCCTACAAAGGCTGATTTAGCACCACAGTTTAAGTAATACATAACACCAGAGGTTTTTTTTCAGTTTCTAGAACCAGAGTACTTAGAATAGCTAATGCTCAATTCTGGGAGTTTCCAGACAAACATTTTTAGACTTGCAAAACATGATACTCTCCTTCCCAACACATATTTTAGACTATGAATTACCAGGGTGCAAAAAGGCTCTGTGTATTGCACACACCAATAATTGGTACAATTATTTTTGCAGTTACTGGTAATCCCCAAATATTCATTATCTAAATGACAAACCAATGGCAAAAAAGGATCACTAGTCTATCAAAAGGTCAAGATGGGGAAAGCGATACACTCACATATATACACACCTACAGAAAGATTAAATTGGTCAGGGAATTTCCAGTAACAGCTTTGCCTTTGTTCAATATATCCAAATACACATACAGGGATACCCCTGAATGCTAAATCACCTACCAGAGACCAGGTCTACACCAAGACTGATAGACTCTTACTTCATTCCCTCCTTTGAGGGACACATGGTGCCAATTAAGACAGTGAAAGCAGCCTTACACTGCTGAGTCTGTGCTGATCACTCAACTTCTGGTAAAACACAAAACACCCATTTCAGATTCTTCACACATTTGTAACCAATTGAAAACATGCTGTCACACTGAAGCAATCGCTGCAAGGAGCACGAAGGCTCACACTCGAGATCAACTGCAGGAAGCTCCTCTCGGTTTTTTTTTCCTTCTTTTTGACCTGCAGGGAAGCGTGGTTCTTAAAAATAATAAAACGTTCAGGCAGGTTCAACAACTTCTCCACCCTTCCCGAGTAGTTTTGTGTAGTTTTCTTGGAATGCTTCACCCAAACTGCCACAAAGAGAAGCTTATAATAAAAATCATATTCACCTATTTTAAAATAATGCAGACTATGAAATTTCTTGTGGTATAGTTAAACATTATGATGAAAACAAGATGACTTCCCCAAAATGCCTCAAGTATCATCTATTCAATGCGAAGACATCTATTTTGGTACCAGCAGCACATCAGTATTGCACATCAGTACCTTTACCTTAAACCACCTGTTACTGGCTTAATAAAATTAATATATTGTCACACTACTGACATGAGACTGAAGTTACAAAACCTACCAGGACATCATCCTACTTTGAACAGCACCAGAAATGATAATTTATTAACGCAAGCTGCTATTAAAAATACTCACTGGCTACACAGCAGATAGCCAAAGTAACATAAAGCAGAGTGGGAAAAGGGAGTTTGGCAACCTTGCTCTCTTCAGACGATAGTTAAGAGTATAATTGCGTAAGATGGCATCTCAGGAACTTGCACATCATTTTAGTTTCTATTTGTCTTCGTCTACTTACGGTGCAACCCATTACTACCCTCCCAAAACAAGAACTTTCATGAAGCAACCCCAGGACCTCGCATTTTAGGAGCTTGCAGAAATCAGCTAAAAATAATTCATATGGCATTTCAAATTATCTCATGCTATTCCCATGTTGTGAAGATTGACTGGCACACAGACCAATTCACTCGAAAGTTTACTGGAGAACATCTGCTTTGAGTTATCTACGATAATCCTTTCCAGCCAACCCTAATGACAGTCACAGAAAACAAATCTTATTTATTCCACGCAAGTCTCCTTTAGTCATTCAGCTATACTCTGGAGTTTACTACTGGTATCTGAGATCTTTTCCAAGTAAGCACTAAATGTTTTTACTACAGCTTCAGACAAAAGCATGGGTTTCTGAACTCTCTGGAAAAGATCAAGCAGCTTAATTTCCTTTCTTTAACTGCCATCTTGATTTATAAAAACTAAAATAAGATTAAGAACAATTCAGGAACTAACTTCAGGGTAAGTGTTATACAGCAGTTTAAAAGGATAAAAAGTGTGTTAGGGTTCGGGAAGTTTAATGTACAGCTGTTCCCTGCCACCTCCAATTCTACTGCCTCCTTCCCTGGTAGATTTGAAAATAGCAGTAAACTCGGCATCTGCATGTGAGCCGGTATCACTGTTTCCACGTGCTGGGACGTGTTTTATGTTGGACTAGCACGCTCAGATGTTATGCTTTGATTCTCTTCCTTCATCTACAGACCAGTCCAGATACAAAACACAAAACGAGCACCAATGTAACACTTTTCTTTCTTCCTCAGGACTGCCTTGACACACAGGACAACCTCCATCTCACTCCACTGCTGCCTAAGAAACAAACATTACAGAAACATTCAATTGCAGTCATTTGAATAAAGCAATTTTGGGGTTGGTTTGTTTTTTTTTAATGTTTCATAGGGATTTTTCTAAAGATCTTTGCATGCATGACTAGACCACGATAGATGACAAACCAGAACTGAGTTAGCAAGGCTGATGTTGCTGAGACACTTAGTTATACAGGCCTCAAGTAGGAGAAGGAGTAGGTATTTCCTTGTAACATGAAAACCTGAGCGCTAGGTGCACAAATACAAAAAAAATTGCAGTGAAACTGCTAATACAGATTCCTATCCTACTGGATTCTGGCTAGAAAGGCTCTTTTTAACCACTTGCACAAAGTTCACAAAACAGCACTAAAAGGCATCCTTTGACATAGTATCATCATCCATATGGGTCACATTAGTACCTTTAAAAGTTTCTAAAGGGTACTTAAACTTGGCCTAGTATGTCTAGAATCCCTAATCACTGAAACTTTTCTAAAAACAAAGCTATTATCCTCCTGAAATCACAGGTTATAATAATCAATAATCTTGACTCCATTGCAGGCATTTTGAAACAGACTATACAGCTATATCAGAAGACACTGGCTTTGAGAGAACATATTTGTCATCATACTTCAACTTACTTCCTCAGAATATGCTATAAATACTCAATATTTTGCTAGTTTCAAAGAAAGTACTTTTGTAACACTTTCCCACCTGTAGTATCAAAGTTATTTCACAAAAGCAAGCAGAGAAGTGGACCCCCTGTGGAAGACTAAACAGATCTTTCTACCTTTCCTACCGATACAAATCCGGATCTCCATTGCCAAGTTGGTGTTTTCTGTTGGCAATTAATAAAAGAAGTGCAGTATGGTCTATACAGAAGTTCACAGGAGCATTTGTACAATTTTTTATTGCCTTCCCTCTGCTCCTAGGGACAGCAGCGTTTTATTGGGTAGTTATAAAAACTGTCATGTATCTATGGGCCACGTATATCTTAAGTAGCACAGGATAACGTTCAAGAAAATCCCAGGTTCAAGGTCGATATTGCTGAAATGGCCAAGAAGGCAGAACTGATTCAGAAGGCAGGTACGGAAACAGCACCACGAGCAAGGTCATCCGCTCGTGTTTATTTTCTCCAAAGTAGTGTACTGATTACCTGCATCTAAGCACCAATTCCTACCCCAGTCTGGGGTCTCTGAGCAGTATCAGATCTTGCCCCCAGCACTGCATTTGTATAAAAGCTACTTCATTGCATAATAATCTGAAACATGGAATAAGAAGTAAGAAGAGAAAAGTTGCTATTCATAGTAGGCTTTATTTAAATGTGGCAATGGAAATACAGTAGTATAGTGTTTATTTAGCACTTCATATAGGATGCATTAGATACCAGACACTAACAATACATATCATGAACAATAAACTATAATGTCATTTTTTCAATGATACAGACCAAACACACAAAGTTAGAATTCAGGTTACAACCTGCTGGTATGTAGTTCAGTTCCCTTGCAACTGATCTATTAACAGTTTCCCCTACCCTCAATGTGACATGATGTTGTCTAAAGATAGGGTACACGAGATACTATTCACAGAAATGACATACCAAAAAGATGACCATGCACTACTTTGTTCATAATTTTTCAAAATGTTTGAAAGTCAGTTTGCTAAGCAGAGTTAAAATATTCACCAGTACACAAAAGATATGCTTAAAGGTGGAGGCAAGTTTTCTAATAGTATTTAGTAAAGCAGATCTTTAAACATGAAGGAATCAATGATTTGGGTTCAAAGTCATCCACTGAGAGTATCTTCTACGACAGAGAAATTAATTTGGAGTCCACGCTTTGAAAACTGATCAGAAATTTGTGCTGCAAAACAACAGGTGGAAGAAATGCTCCTTGACTACCAAGAACAGTCAAAAAAGTGGCCAGGCACAGCAAGCAGTTATCCTTACCTCTGGACTTAAAGTTTCCGGGTCTAATTTAAAGAGTCAAAACAATTTGCATATATTTTATTTGTACTTAGGCTTTATTTAATGGTAAAGTAACATCATCCAGACACCTTCCCATACACACTTTACAAAGCCAGGATCATCAAACAAGAGTAAAGTCAGATTCCAACAAAATACCGCATTGCGAAGAAATCAGCAGACCTGAAATATTTCACTTGAGTGAGACAACAGTTTAGCCCTCTGTTACCTTTTGGCAGTATGTACGCACATAAGTAAGGTGTAGAGAGACTAGAACAGCCAAGAGATCAAGAGGAGTTTGCCAGCAGAAAAAGCAGTTTGCCCTGGCAGTTACAGCCTCGAGACACAAATCCACACCAGTTGGTAAGTGCCATCAACACTCTAGCTCTTCTCTACACGGTCCACTCCAAAGGAGACGTCTAACCCTGGCAGGGGCCCTCAACATAGCAGGAAAACACTCCAAACTTTGGCAAGGCGGGGGAAACCACCCAACGAAAGAGTATCCGTCGGTAGAGTCATTTAGAAGGTAAGATATAAGTGGTAGCAAAATACAGATTATGGAGACAAGACACACACCCAGAACACGACCATTCACAGGACAGCAGTAGCACATTGAGGGAAGTCTTCCTGCTCTACAGGAAGAGATCTTTAAAGCAAATAGAAAACAGTCAACAGTATAACACTTTTCTCCATTCATATTTATTAGCCAATAATTGGAAAACATTCTTGTTACTACAGAGAAGAATAATTGTCTGTCAACTTCAACATTCGCTAAACATTTTGTATAATATCATAAGAGTTGTACCTGTAGTGCCTACCCCTCAGTTGTATATGAAACACAGAAGACTCACTACAGCGTGATCCCCCAACACTTCTTCTTCCACCCCCAACAAAAAAAAAACCAAACAAACCCAGACCACCAGACCATGAAGTTGGGCAAAACCTTTTTGGGGAACAAATTTATTTAAAAAGCCCAGCAGTTGAAGTGAAGGTTAGTTACATGAAATACTATTAAACTGGACAGACATGTGTGGCACAAATTCAAGATAAGGGAACAGAGTAAGAAGAGGAGTGGACTGCCACAAAGCCAGGCAGTCATTGTCACAGCAGCGCAGAACACAGCCTCAATGGCACCTACCACGGCATACTGCAAGCAAGATAACTTTAGTCTTGTTTTTTCACTCAACACCATACTGATAAGGAATGGTATAGGCATCAAAATCAGCTGGAATTACATGTTCATCTCAAGGCACCACAGTTCAAGAGCATATACAAAGAGGAGTTCAGAGGAGAGCAGTGATAAGAGGTTTTGAAAACATGGTGAATAAGAAAAAGTTTAAGTACTCAGTTCATACAGTATTGAAATAAATAGGGAGGAGACACTTAAAGCTTGAAATAAGCCTTCCTGTGCATTATTAGTCATAATAAACAGCAATCAACTGTTTTCATGCTCGCTGGCCTAATTTGCAACGAGACAAATACCGATTACATATTAGGAGTAACCAGAGATGCACTCAGACAAGCTCCCAAATAGTTTCCGTAGCCACTACAGAGGTTTAAGAACAGATTAGACAAGTCTGGAAGGAGTTGCTTTGTATAGGTGATGCTACTCCAGCGAAGGCGATGGACCACATAGCTTCATGAAGTCCCTTCCAGCCATGCACCCCTATGTTTCACACCTGGGGAACAGAAACTGAACAGCAAGTAGTGGAAACACATTGAAACACCCATTTCTACCTAGTCCGAGCTAGACTCAAAATAGTAATTCTAAATTCTGTCCCCTCGAAGAGATACATGCAGGCAATTACACAAAGCAGTCTGTGTTATAAAGGACTTAGAAAAAATTCGACACTTCACAGTTCGCTGCCCCACCACACAGGGCAGGCTCACTCTCCCAAGCACAGTGCCCCAAGCGAACGTGACCCCAGAAGAAACACCCAAGGCTGTCCCAGCCGTCGCAGGCGGCTCAGCACCACTCAGGCTCTGTAGTCACTTCATATCATTTCAACCACCTTGTGCCTTCCCCTCTACATCCCGACACCCAAGCACATTTCTAAAACAGCATGGTCCTGCCAAAACAAAGCTTAATGAAACAAGAATATCCACAGAAGGTATTAGGTTTGACCCAGCCCTATACATCCATTGCCTTCTGGTATAAATCCTACCGATCACACAGCCAGCTACAACCACGTTTAACATTTAGTGGAAAAATGTAGCATGTCTTACAGAAGGAGACTTGTCAAGTGTTGAGCTGCACAACGAAAGAGTACAAAATAATGCAACGTGCCCCCCGCCCCCCCACCGGTGTAGCAATTGCTACAGATTATTTCAGCACAATACCTAACACCTATAGAACACATCACTAACACAAGCCCTAAAAACCCAATCACTAGGCTGGTCCTACCAACATCTAAGCACGATACAGTTTCATTATATACACAGTAACCACTCTCCTCCTCTTCCACCTGCACAGAAACTCTAACCAGGTGAATCTGGGTAGTTATTATTTATTATAAGCCATGAACTGAAGTTCAATACTATTGCTTAAAAATTTAGAGAGCCATAAAATGAGGTTGCTATGCAATCAAAGTCACAGGAACAACTGGTCCTACTTCAACAAGAGAGAAACACAGAGTTTGTTGATTTTTCAGACAGAATAATACAGAATATACAGAAAATTCAGCCTTAAAAAGCACCCCTTCTGATCTATCACGATCCTGCTGCTTTCTGTGGTAAGGAGAGATCCATTCGTTCAGCCAGAAGCCTGTACTTTGATTGCAGTTACTCAGGGAAGTGAAAAGCCAACGCTGAGAGTTAATGCACAACAGGCAGGTGCCAGCGCAGCCGAGGATGCTCCTGGCACAGCAGCCCTCCACTTCACCTGAGCTCGCTGTTATTATCTACCTGCGTTACGGTAAGAGCAAAGTCAGACACCGAACTAGATTATGAGAATGACCCTTAAAGGCATCGCCTGGACAGAATCATTCTGCAATCACCTGCTTAATCTTAATGCACTCCAGAGAACTAGTGGAGATTTAAAATTATGCAACACGCATTTAAGGACTTGATGAGAATGGCTTCAAAGGGTCAAGAGCTTTCTGAAGTTCTTAAATATTATGTTACCCATCTCATGGAATATCTACCCAGAGCTGTTATCATGGAGCTGTTTATATCTGAAAGTAATATACAGAAAAGCCCTACTAATGTCACCACAATATAGACTTTTCACTCTTTTCTTAAAAAACCAGAAACATCTATCACCATATTATTGGTATACTTCTAAATGCAGCAGACCAACTTTTTTCAAAATGCTAGAGAAGCTTCTCAGTTGATTCCTTAAATGATAAAGGAGGCTAAGGTAAGAGCCTGTTGAATACACTGCATTGTGGAATTTATTAATTCATCACACTGAAGTGCAGTATGCTTGCATGACTGCTCAGGAGAATTTAAGCATGGCATATTTGTTCACAAAACCCGAGAAAAAGAGTCTTACAATTGGGAAAGTTTTAAATACTAACTTTGGAGAGAAGTCCCTTTATCCTTTCAACAGCAGTTACTAATACAGAATTTCCGTGAGCACATGCCATAGAGAAGTTTTATGGATACGCAAAAAAAAGTTGAAATCAATTTACCCTCTCCTAGAATTATTGCTCGCCAAATTCTAGATAAAATGCTGATGCCAGTCAACCATTTCCAAATGCCTCCATTCTCTGAAGACTGTGCAGGTCCTCGGGAGAATATAACCTGTCGGGGAAAGCAGATGACCCCCCTGATAATCAGTCGGGAATGCTCGGCCATTCCATTCAGTGGCAGGATCATTAGCAGCTACTTGGAAACAAAATGAGTTTTCTACCTTTGGCTGGGAAAAAAAATCTTCCCCCAGAGGACCGTAAGCACAGCACCTTTCATCTCGGGGCTTACAAATTGGAGAGCTACTTTACTTTAAGACCAGCTCCACTCCAGAGCCAATTGCCAAGTGTGATCGTGACAGGACAAAAGAACACAGTACCCCATCAGCATTTTATTTATATTTAAATACAGAACGCTTAGGCAACTACAACCTGGCGCTAGTTATTTCTAATCTAGCAGCAAAAAACTTCATGATTTCCACTTTAAAAAGCCCCACTGATGCTTAAGCCCCTTGGCAGCCTGTCTTAAAATGTCCAGTGAAGAAAATAATATACAAAGTCAAAACCCAATAGCTCATATTTTAATAGACAAACTCTTACACACATGACAACAGAGACCGAGTTGTCACGGTAAGTATACAGGCTGCAGGCACCCCACCTTTGCAAATACATTTGAAACATCACCTTCTCTTCCATCTCACTATGCTCAACTCTATTCAAGAGTCAACTGTAGTTTCTCCAAGGATAAACTATAATATCAAGGTATAAATTTTCCTGGAACTTTCAAGATAACTTATGTACAGACATAAAAATTCCATGTTCCTTCCCATGCAATTAATTTACACAGCACAAGGAGTGTTACATACTGACCATCCTAGCCAGCTCAGAGCTTGCTTAAGCAACAGCTTACAGAAGCACAGAGCTGGTTGTAGATGAGCTGGAAGTTTGGTCACTGAAGACAAGTTATGAATGTGCATCACCACCCTGGGGAAAAAACATGCTCCTCTACCATCAGAAGTTCTACACTCCTTAAAAAAAAAAAATCAATTTAGCCCTGTAGTATAATCATGATGTTCTGCAAGCTGATTCTGCATGAAAACAGTATGTGAGAAAGCAGCTCCACAAAAGTGCTGGCTGTCACTCTCAGACAAGACTTCCACCTCTGCACAATCATCTTCACAGCACAAAGTTTCAAAATACACCCAGTTGAGTATGTTGCTGAATACTACAGACCGACTTGGACGTAGGATTCCTCTCCTCCCCAACTGCTATGTTAGAAAACCACTTTGTTCAATAAAACGGAACTAATTACATTCTACTTCCAGTGATTCCTCGGTAGAAATTTCTACCACCGACTGTTTGGACATGCTGAAAATTCTATACTTTGATATTAACAGTCACACTTAAGCATGCACCACTGCCCCATGAAAGCCATGCCCCAGAAAACACTGACACGCTGTTAAGTTTAGCAGATTGCATCTCATATTAAAGCAATTTGCTAGCACTTAAATATTGTTCCAAACACTGAAAGCATGAATTACCTGCAGAAAGAATAATTCAGCTGTTAGAATACTGAACAAACAAACCTACATTTACATTAAATTGAATGTGATGTAATTACTTTTACCTTAAATATTTCTTTAAAGACCAAGTGCGTAAGTGGGGCCACATCATACCGTATATGTTATACAGACTGAAGAAAGTTTATCTGAAGTTATCAGCAAGTGCAAAATGGGTGAGACGAGATAGCAGTAAAGCGTTATCAGCCAAAACAGACACGTTTTTTCCTTCATTTATAAAAACTATACTGACATTAATTTGAACTCAAATCTACTATATTGGAGTAACTATGCCTTAAAAGAAGTGCTTCTTAATTAACATCAAATTTCCACAGCAGGCAGAATCAACTCCTTCTTTCCCTATCCTGAAACTTTTGTGGTTCCTGACAAAAGAAAACTGTCAACTGCAGCAGCTCCTTGAAGAAACTGGAAAAGGATCTCCCCTCACAGCATACTGGGAGAAAAAGCTTCAGCTCCTCTGAAACTACTTTGATCAGCAGCCAAAGGTGCCAGAATGACAGCACTGTTGTGTCATATGGCCATACCAAAAACCCTGAAGAGAGGCAACAACCCACACCTTACGCACTCCTAAATTGGGCTCACCCTCAACTTATTATACAAAACCCTAACAAATGACAAATTAGAGTTTCTATCCTAAGTCCAGACTTCTGAAACATGGGCTAAGCTGAAGGTCTTCATATTTTCTGACACAGATTGGGTCTCTCCTCGCTTGGGGGCTTTTGACAGCAAATATTCTCCCTCCCACCCATGCCAGCATCAGGCTGCAGTGCCTTGGCAGCAGGAGCCGATCCAGCTGCACCCCATGCCCACCCCACACCAGCTCCAGCCCTCCCAGGACCCCATGCTCAGCTCCCTGCCTTATTGGGTTAATTGTGTGCCAACGTCCACAGAAACAGCTTAACACAGGGTGCTAGGTGCACCAGCGGCCGCAGGAACACAGCTGACCCAAGTCACGGCAACTTGGAAAACTGCAGCCTCGGGTTCTTTGCTGTTTGGGAAGTTTGGTTTAGCACAGCTCTCCTGGAAGGATGTGCATCTTGCACATCAGCTGTCTTTTCCATGCTGTGGTTCATGGTGACTGTCAGAGGTTATTCCTGATGTTTATTCTACCTACAAAAAGTTGGTTCTTCCATTCAGTAAAACTGCTTCATGGCTACACCAGGAAAAATGTGTTAGATTAGTTATTTCCCTCCCAGCATTTCCTCCCTCCAGGCTCTGAGCAATCAAAGTGTTCATTTCCCACCAAGGGTCCACACTACAGCATGTGCAGACAGGTACTTGCTGCAAAGTTTTATCATTTGGATTTGAAAGGCCTGATCCCCTTTAATGAAACAACCCGACAAAGTGAGGGGTGTCTGGCTGGCGGGTGCTGCTCTCCAACAGCTTGAGCTCGTACCACCTGGGGCTGCCGCTGCCCCACCATCACCTCTCCTCACCACACACACTCCCCCAACTACTGCTTTGTGCCAAAACTACCACCTCCCTGACCCCAGGATGAGCCAGGGCAGGGAAAGAGGCCCCAGACGAGCCCCCTTTCAGGTAGGGTTTGGCCAGGTGAGTTCCTTGGCTGGCCCAGTGCAGGGTCAGCACAAGGGAGGTAACAGGAATGTGCAGCTGGAGGTGGGGAAGTGGACAGGTATTACAGCAGCTCTCCCACCAGGTGCGGCTCCGTTGGCAGTTTCAGCTGGTGTAAGCATG